GTCACATGAGGATGTTCCCCGACCCTTTGAAGAGCTTCTCCAAAATCCCTCTCCAACGACGCTTAACCTCGGAGTGAAAGGACGAGTTGGAACAATGAGATGCCAACAATTTATCCTGGGTCTGCCCTTGGTTCCGACCCGGTCCAATCCTCATCAGATGTGGAGACTATCCTAACGTACCCGTGATAGGACTCAGGGGTTGCATAGCCTATTCACCTAGAATAGCTATGAGACAACTCATGAGGACTCAAACTACAATTTCTCGAGGGGAACTCGGAGGACTGTGTTTCTTCGGAGACCCATGCACAATCGCCAACTCACTAGCTGTGAGAAAAGCATGGGAGAAACCAGTCTTTATGGGAGATAGAGAGCTAGGAAAAGCTTGAGTGGCTGTCTCCAGTGACTATGAGGTATGGAGAAAAAGAAGAGGGATGTCTCAACCATCCACCTCACTCATTACAAGTGCCAATAGTGAAGAGCTGCAAGCTCAAGTCGATGCCTTGACCCAGAGGATAGAAATCATGGGAGCCCAGATGAGGGCCCTTGAAGAGAGAGAGCAAGAATCTATCCTCACCATTGATGGTCTGCAAAGGCAATGCAAGAAAAAGGATCATGAAATATGTTAGAAAAGTAGTTTTAGATCAAGAGGGGGGGTGAATTGATCTTTTGAAAGTTTTTCGCAAATCACAGATTATCTAATTTGAAAATTTAGTTTCTAAAAATCTTTTTGAATCACCAAGCAATCAAACAATATTAGGCGCAACAACAGAAATTAAAGAGAGAAAGGTTAAGAAAGATTTCACCGGTATTTTATACTGGTTCACCCAATACCAGGGCTACATCCAGTCTCCAGCCAAATTCCAGTTGGGTTCCACTAGAATAGATGTTTTACAGACTCGACAATCTTACACCTAATCTAACACAAGAACCAACTTCCAGTTCTTACACTTAACCTCTCCACCAAGAACCAAATTCCAGTTCTTGGAAACTTCTACAACCACCTACCAGCTGCAGAAAACTTGTACCCAAATTCCAGGTACAAAACAATACAAAAGAATTAACAGTAATTGAAAAGAAGAGACTTAGAAAGCTCAAACCGGATTACGCTAATCCACTGTAAGTTTCTTCTTCAAAGAATGCAATATGCCTCATGAAAGATTTTCAAAAGAACTTCACAAAACAGTTGCGAATCTTTCTTGGAAAAGGATGCTAACAGTTGCTTGAATTTGATTGCTTAGGATGTGTAAAACTTGATGTTTAAAAAGTTCCAAGCAATTCTATTTTTAAAAGAGTTTTCCAAAACTGCTGCATTAATTAATCTGTTGAAAGTTTGTTTTAATCTGTTGAAATAGCCGTTATAATCTGTTAAAAGTCCTTTCAACCCATTAATGCGTTCTTGTTTCTTTAACATATTTGTTTTAGCTGATACGTCCACGTTTATATCAGTTAAAACATTTTACAAACATTTTCTAAGTGTGATTCAATCGATTGATTCGCGTTTTAATCGATTGATTTACTTTAAAACTTTCTTATAAAACTTTTCAAGTTATTTTAACTAATACAAAGAAGTTTTAATCGATTAAAAACCTGCACAGAAATTTTCCAAGTTATTTTAATCGATTGAAATGCGTTTTAATCGATTGAAACAGATCTGATCGGTCATAATTCAATTCTGATCGATCATAACCAACTCTGATCGGTCATAACTGCATTCTGATCGATCATTCTGACCCTTTAAGTGATTTTAATCGATTGAAACGTGTTTTAATTGATTGAAATAAGTTCTGATCGTTCATATATCAAATCTGATCGGTGATAATGAGTTCTAAAGGGTTTTAATCGATTGAAAGCAATTTGTATCGATTAAAATACTGTAAAAACACTTCTTTGATCATTCTAAGTGATTTTAATCGGTTCTTTCAAAGCTATATCAGTTTAAAACATTATTAAGAAAGTTCTTGTCAAAATGCTTTTGATTTTAATTTGTTTAAAACTATTTTTGAGGCATTTTGCAAAATGAATGAAGAACCTTTATGCAGCAGAAAAGGTAAAATGGTTTTACCTAAGCCTTCTGTTAGACACACTAAATCTTCTAGCACAATTATCTGAGTGACTTGTTGACTGCTGTAGAGTTGACTTTTGGCTCTATCTTTGACTTCATCAAATCAATGAGATCTTGCTAGGATCACTTTCAGTCTCCCCCTATTTGATGAAGACAAACACCATTTTGAAAAAACAAACTCTACAAAAGAAGTCACTTGATAATACAGTTTAGTGAGAAATATAAAATTGTATTAATGTTCTATTTCTCCCCCTAAAACTTATTTCTCCCCCTAAAATGTTGCTCTCTTACTGTAAGAGTTATTTTTCTAAATTTATCCTCAAGTAAAGCAACTATTTCTCCCCCTTTTGACTTCATCAAAAATAGGAAATAGAAGAGAAATAAAAAAATGTAAGGTTTGAAATGTGCTCAAGTTTTTGAAAATAAAAAGGAAATCAATATTTTACTCATGAAAAGAATCAATTAAAGTTGATTCAAGATTATCTCCATTAACATGTTTGTAATGAATACAATTAACACGTGTAAAGATAAGGGAATCACGCTTTAGTAGCATGTTACAGGAACAACCATTAACTAAAGCCTTTAATCTTCTTTTCCAGAATAAAAATCGATTAAAAACAGAGCATAATCGGTTAAAATGTTTTTGGTAAATGATTTTAATCGATTGAAAGAAAGGTTTAATCGATTAAAACATTTAAGATTCTGAAAACATGAGATTTTGGTGTAAATAATCAATTATTTCGACTTTAAATCGATTAAAATAGTAATGGAAATTGTTGGATAAGTTCATTTAATCGATTTGAAAGGTGTTTTTATTGATTAAAACAATCAGATTTTGAAAACCATGATATATCTGATGCTAATCTTTTATATCTAATTTATTTGATATGTTGTGGACTGATTGTCTAGATTATCTATGCCAGTTTAATCTAAATTAGACCCTAAATCATGTTAATCAAGGTTAAGGCAAATGTACCTGGTATAACACCAGTAATATTACAGTCCAAGCAAATTAAAAATAAGCATAAAATAGAAATAAGCAGAAAAGAAAGATAATGAGGTAGATTAGTCATCCCAATTCCCTTGATTAAGCTGCATGTCCTCCAGCTTAGTATAGATGTCTGCTATTTGGTGACCAAGGGAATCAAATTGCTGATTGGTGTGCTGAAAATGCTGGTAGGTCATCTGCATGTGCCTTCTCTAGTTTTCTTGCAGAGAAGCCATTTGTGACAGCATAGTCCTCTCAAACTGGGAAAGAGGAGTCCCACGGTCTAGTTGCTCCACAAAAGGGACAATCTCCATATTTTCGTAGGAGGCTTGGCCGCTTGAAGAACCAGGGAATTCAGCAGCAGCTGGAGATGGAGGGATTTGACCCTGTTCTTCATTTTCCTCTTCTTCTTCAGCTTCGGACATCCCAGCATCTATCTTGGATATCCACTCATCATCAATCTTGATAAAACCCATTTTTCTTAAGGTTGAGTCATCAACCTCATTCGAAGCTTTTGGAGTTTCAGCAAACTCTCCTTCCAAGTCTACTCCAAAATGTCTAAAAAATTTGCTAATTAACACAGCATAGGGTAGTTTGTAATCAGCAAGTCTTTTTACTTTTATCATGTGATCCTTAATCACAAACACCCAGTTGACCCTAATCCTGTTCTCAATGCAGTACATGAGGGCCAAGTCACCCTCATTCAGTATGGCATGGTTACTCCCCCTTGGAGTAAGGATCCATGCAATAATGAAAGCCAGAACTCTTGATTCTAGCTTCATTTTCCCAGCATTGAAAACTCTGGTAGACTCATTTTCATCTTTTAGACACGTTCTAAAAAATTGGGTTTTATTGAATTCAGGAATTTCTGCAATATTCCCCCTGGAGATTTTGACTCCAACATCCTTCAGTCCAGCTACCTCCTCCCAGATTTCAGGAGTAATAACTAAATTGACCCCCTTAAATTGAGATCTAAGAGTAGACCCATTTACAGTAAGATTGGAAAAGAAGACTCTTACCAGGTCAGGTTGTATGTTCCCGGTGAACTCCAGAAAGTTTTTCAATTTCTGACTTTTTAATTTCCTCCTTAATGAGGTGAAGCCTTCTTCATCTAGCCATGAAAATCTTACAAACTTAGGAATGACCAGCTGTTTCTCTCCTTAATGAGGTGAAGCCTTCTTCATCTAGCCATGAAAATCTTACAAACTTAGGAATGACCAGCTGTTTCTGACTGAAGTTTGTGATAAAGTTGTTCATTTTGTCCCTATCCCCACTGAACCAGTTCTCCAGGTGGCCTCCCTGGTTTCCAGCCGAGGAGGATTCACCCTTTTGCCTCTTCCTGGATTTTTATCTTCTCAACATTTTGGTTGAAGCTTTTAGAGAAGAAAATCAGTTTGGTGTGTGTTGAACATTCAAGGACTTGATGTTGCAAATAATGATCATGAAGAATGTTGATTTTGATGATGATCCAAGAGCTTAATAAAACCCAATTTTTTAACTGTGTTCAAAAGATGAAAATGAGTTTACCAGAAGTTTTCACGCCGTGGGAAAAATGAAGCTAGAATGCATAGATAATCTAGACAGTCCGACATAAATAATTAGATATAAAAGATTAGCATCAGATATCATGGTTTCAAATACGATTGTTTTAATCAATAAAAACACCACCGTCGATTAAATGAACTTATCAACATTTTATTACTATTTTAGCTCGATTTAAGTAAATAATTGATTAT